TTCGAATCCACTCGTGGAGGCCATCACCTCATCCAGCCTTGATCTCCAGCATCTCTCGACCTCGCCTTCAGATAATCATCAGCAACATCATCATCATCACCACCACCACCACCACCACCACCATCAAAGCAAGAAGAACAAGAAAAAGAAAAACAAGGATAAGGACAAGGACAAGGACAGGAGCCACAAGGAGTCAAAGCACTCGAAAGGCTCTTCCAACGTGGAGGACAACAATGCTGTCGACGGAATGCTGTTGACTACAGATCCCGCAGCAGATCTGACGACAATCACTACCTTCCCAGAGTCATCAGAAGAGGACACTGAATCGGTGAAGCTCAAAAAGAAGAAGAAAAAGAAGAGCAAAGATAAGGACAGGGATCGAGAGGGACGGCGATCAGAGAAAAATGGCTACTCTGATGAAGGAGAAGAGGGAGGCGAAAGTAGAAAGGACGAGAAGAAAAAGCGCAAAAAGAGGCATCATCACAGCAAATCAGGCGATGATACCGCTGTAGTTGGAGAGGGCGAATCAGTTCTCCAGAACACTGATGCCTCTGCAAGCTCGGCGACTTTCTTTCAGCCCTCTCTTTTGGAATCGGCCTTTGGAACGTCCTCTCTGAGCGCCCCCGCAGATGAAGGAGCAGGAGGAGCCTCAACTAGCGCTCCAGTTGCTGTTTCCACCACCACGACCGACTCAACTATTGCGGCGGACAATAACAGCGAGCACGCTGGATCGTCGATTGGAGAGCTTTCAGAAGGGAACTTTCATCAGGAAGCGCCATTGATGGTCAATTCAAACTTGCCAGCTCTGCCAGCTTCAACTGCTACTTCAGACATGGACGTCGGCGATAACCCAACATTGCCAATCACTTCAACTACCGCAAACAGTATCGGCATGCCGTCATCAGCTCAGGAGCAACTGCAACAGCAGCAGCAGCAGCCAGCGATGAACCCAGGTCCTAAGAAGGTGAAGAAGATTCGAAAGCGTAAAACTGCTGCGGAAGCAACCTCCTCCTCCTCCACATTGGTCTCAAACTCCACCACCGCCACCACCACTACCTCTCTGCCAGTGATACCCATCGATACTACCGCCGCCGCAAATGCCCCTCTCAGCATTGTTCACAATGATCCCACCATTGCTACGACCAGCACGACCACCAACCCACCAACTGAAAATCCACTCCCGATCTCACTTCTTCTGACGCCGCCGCCCAAACGAGTACGTATTCGCCGCAAACGTGATCCAAATGCTCCGCCGGCCAAACGGGGCCGCCCCTTCGGTGCGAAGACGCACCCGTACAAGCTGAAGCGCAATCAGCAGCTTATCAAGCAGCTCCAGCAGCAACAGCAGCAGCAGATTCAGCAACAGATTTCTCCCTCTTCTTCTGCTGCTGCTGCTGCCGCCGTTCTTCTGCCACCCGAGTCATTGGCTGCCCTCGCTGGAGCAGCTCAAACGCTACCAACAACTCTAGTGCCTCTTTCAGCTACGGCTACGGCTACGGCTACAGCAACAACACCGACGACGCCCTCTCCGCAAAAGCGAGGCCGAAAGCCGGTAAAGGTAAAGCTGGAGGAAATCAGCCCGAATCAGGCGAATCAGTCCATCGAGTCGACACAGTCGACACCGCCGCGCTCTTCAACTCGAATTCGCAAAAACTCCGAGATTAAAGATCAGATCAAGCAGGAAGAGCTATCGGACGAAAAGAGCAGCCGAGATGGAAAACGAAAGAGGCGAGGCAGAAAGGCTAACAAAGAGGCCTCGGCCACTGGCGCCGCCGTCGCCGCCGCTACCACTTCAAAGCCTGTTGAAGCAATGGACACCGTTTCCGCCATCATTGACAGTGTAGCCACCCAGGCTACCACCGACTCCTTTTCACCACCACCACCACCACCACCGCCTCTGCTGCTGTCACCCACAGTGAAGCAGGCAAAGAAGAAGCCCGCAAAAGCCAAACAGTCTGGGCCAATGAGCTTTGCCGAACTTGAGGCCAAAGTGGAACGTGTGCTGGCAGGAAATGTTTCAGGAACTTACACCACCACCACCACCACTGCCACCTCTTCCGCTTCTTTGGCTTTTGACGACGTTAAACCCGTTGTCCCTTCATCATCATCATCCTCAGCAGTCAAACTGGAAGAGAAATCTCTTGCCAAGAAGCGAGGTCGAAAGAGCAAAAAGGAGATGCTGGAGAAGTCGCTGCAGGAACAAGGGAACAAATCCACTTCTGCCTCCTTCCAGTCACCTGCTTCTAGCAAACAGCTGTCCCAGACGGACAGCGGCCCCCTGAGCATCAGCAGTGTGCTGGCGAACAATCGAGTTCCGCTGGCCATCCAGCGAACTCGCTTCATCGGCCCGGTGGTGCGCATCGTCAAGCAGGGCACCGACGTGCAGGCCGTCCTTCAGGAGCTGGGCGCCTCCGGCTCGGGCTCGTCGCCGTCGAAGAAGTCGAAGAAGAGTANCGCCGCCGAAGAAGTCGAAAAAGAGTGCCGAGAAAGAGAAGAAGAAGACAAAGAGCGGCAAAAAGGGCTCCAATCTAGGAGGCGGGTCGACTGTTGAAGATGAGGACAGGCGGGCAGAAGAGGAGGGCGACAGCGAGTTCGCCATGCCCTTCCAGTACTCCATCTGCCAGCGACAGACGCAGCTGGACGGTCGAGGCCTGGTCGAGGAGAGCGACTCACAGTCA